AAAGCTTTCACGAAAGCGCCTTGATTTTTCTGGAAAGCATTGCCTACCCTGCGACAGTTCAGGGACAGAGTCTGGGGGGTCTGGCTCCTAGCCCCACTCGCTCTTCCCTCTGTGTATCAGAAGAGGACATTTTCTAGACCGCTCTTCCATGATGGCGTAAGATCTTCAAGTGCTGCTCTGAACTCGGGGACGGGGCGGTGGGCTGTGGATGAGCAAACAGTGGTAATATTCTTCAACTCAAGGATCATCAGCGTTGGGAGTGCTTCATCCTGCCTGGCTTACCTCATGCTGATTTCCGTGTGTTGTAGCCGAGTATGGAGGAAGTATGGGATGCAAAGCCTGAGGTTGCGCTCCTGCTGCGTGGGGTCTGCTTACCTGCTTATGGGGTTGCTTGGCCACCTTCTTTGAAGATGGTTACTAATGCATGGAAGAGGGGGACCCAAAACTAAAAAAACAGCACAAACAAACAACTTCTAATAATATCCCAGGGTGAAACAGGCATTTGCAGGCTAGTAAGGAAATGGGGGGGGGTCCCAAATGTCAGATAACCAATTTAGGTGCAAACTTGGAACACAATTCCTTTCCCAGCTGAGAGCTGTCTAACCTAACAAAATGACAGCAGAACATGGAGGAGATCTTAGCTGATTCCAGTTGATACCAGCTGGGTAAACGCCCACCCTACGTAATGAGTAGGTTAATTATAGGCCTTCCGTGTTTATAGACCTGAATTAATCTCTTGAGCGTATTTAACTTTGTCACCTCTAATGGCTCCGAGCATTCGAGTAGGACTTTTCAAAAGTCACGCTCCTCTGTTGACTGTACATGCAGGTCTTAAGAATCAAAGGGCTGGGTGGAGTCGATCACTTTCATGATCCGATGCTTGGGGATCAACCTAAAATAAAGCACTGAGAAACGATGGAACAAATAAAACAGTAACAGGGGATTTAAAAATAGTCGACCACACTCCCTCGTCCCTGCCCTCAAACTTAGCTCGTCAGCATCTAACACTCTCACCAAGGAAGGATGGATGTGTTCAGGGGTCCTGAATCAATGAGTCCACTGCCCCATCTGAACTTCAGTTCCTTCTAGCAGCTGTATTGAGAAAAGAATGTCATTCTCACAAGACACAATATATCTGGATGCTCTGGAGACCTAGCCCATCCTAAGCAAGGCTCATGGTAGGTTAGGGCCAGTTGCCTGGCTGGTCCAAATTGCTCAGGTTTGGCCACTGGACAACAGGCTCAGCTCTCGTGCACATTAGTTTTACCTGCAGAGCCACCTGGATGAAGGCTGGTCAGATGCTCTGGGCCAGCCCCAGGTCATGGCTGGTTTATGCTCTACAGGCCTTCATGATGAGCAGCCGAGGCTGAGGAGTGGGGAAATGGCAGCCACCGTGACTTTTTTCACATGCAGAGTATTCACACGGCATACATGTCACTGACAATGCAGAGTAGTAGAGAAGGATCATCTTCCCAGGGGCTTTGCCAAGTGCACAATTGCTGGCTGTTTAGTATTTATCGGGCAGAAGATGAAAGTGTGTGTCCGACAGCCCTTTGCTTCTGCTGCCTCATTGCCACATCCTGGTCAGACTCTTGCCATCCTTTCTAGCCTTGCTTCCTATCCCTAACCGTCTGCAAAGCACCACTCCACGATTAATCTCCCTTCAGTGACTCCTTACCACTGGAGGAAAACACCAAACCAAACCAAACCAAACCAAACCAAACCAAACCAAACCAAACCAAACCAAACCTAACCAAACCTAATGCCTTCTCTCAAGACCTTTTTATTTTTTGTGATTTATTCACTTTATATCCCAAACATAGCCCCCTCTCATCTCTTCCTTGCCCCACTCTCCCACCCTCTTTCTCCTCTATCCCCCTCCCCTAGTCCATTGAAAGGGGGAGTCCTCCTCCCCTACTATCTGACCCTAGCCTATCAAGTCTCATCAAGACTGGCTGCATCCTCTTCCTCTGTGGGCTGGCAAGGTTGCCTCTCCAGGGTCAAGTGATCAAAGAACAGGCAACTGAGTTCATGTTAGAGACAGCCCCTGCTCCCCTTACTAGGGAACCTGCATGGAGACTGAGATGCCTATGGGTTACATTTGAGCAGAGGGTCCAGTTCCTCTTCATGCATGATCCTTGGTTGATGTGTCAATCTCTGTTGGCACCCTGGGCCCAGTTTTGGCTTTGTTGGTCTCCTTGAGGAGCTCCTGTCCCCTCCGTGTCCTTCTATTCCCTTTTCTCCCATAAGACTCCCTACGTTCTGCCCAAAGTTTTGCTGTGGGTCTTTGTATCTGCTACGATGCCCTGCTGGGTGGAGTCTTTCAGAGGACATCTATGGTAGGCTCCTGTCCTGTGCCCTCTCTTCCACTGCTTCTGGTGTCTATCCTGTTTGCTTTCTGAATGAGAATTAAGCATCCTTCTCAGGGCCCTCCTTGTTTAGTTTCTTTAGGTCTGTGGATTTTAATATGATTACCCTATATTATATGGCTAATATCTACTTCTAGTGAGAATATACCATGCCTGTCTTTCTGCTTCTGCGTTACCTCACTCAGGATGATCTTTTCTAGTTCCATCCTTTTTCCTGCAAATTTCATGATTTCTTTGTTTGTAATAGCTGAGTAGTGTTCCACTGTATAAATGTACCACAATTTCTGTATCCATTTTTCAGTTGAGCACTCAAGACCTTTCATGGCTAAACATAAGACAATTGCTGTGTGGCTTTTAATCCTTCGCTTGGCTAGCCCCATGCTGTCAGAAACCCTTATTCAAGCATTCTTTTCCAATAAAACCCTGGCTAGTCTGCTCCCCCACATTCCAGGCCTTGGCTGCCTCTGTGCCAAGGAAAACCTGTGCAAACCTTGTATAGGCCTGGCATATTGGGTGCTAAAAAGCAAATTGCTTAGCAAACTTCACTTTCACTCCCAAAATGTGTTTCTTCTCTATTAGTGTTTGTTTTCCCCAAGGACACTGGTTAGTTTGGTATATACAGTTGAAAAGGTTTGGTACAGAACTGCACTTAAAATTTCAAGGCATGGGGCTGGAGAGATGGCTCAGCAGTTCCGGGAGTATTTGCCACCCTTGTAGAAGACCCAGGTTCAGTACCCGGAATCTAAATTCTAAACCTAAATCTAAAATCTAAACCTACTCAGCTGCAGGGCCAGCTCCAGGGAACCTGACATCTTCCTCGGACCTTCGCTGGCTTCAGGCATGCACATAAGACTCTTACATACAAGCAGACAAAACTGTTCAAACATTAAAAAAAAAAAAATTACATGTGCCAGGTGGTGGTGGCAACAAGCCTTTAAGCTCAGCACTGAGATCAGCTTGGTCTACGGATTGAGTTCCAGGACAGCCTGGGTGTAACAGGGAAACCCTGTCTTGAAACAAACAAACAAACAAACAAACAAATGCTACTGCATCATTCACTAGCTATAGGATCTCGGGGCAAGGTTAATCTTTTTCTCAGTGGTGAAATGGGGGTGACAATTGAGTGGTGAATTGTGAGGAATAGACAGGCAGAGCATTGGATAGATAACAGGTGGCCTGATTTTTTTTTCCCCATTGACTTGAACTTACTTCAATTTACCAGGTACTGTGAAACATTCGTGAATAATAGTCCACTAGAAAGTTTTGGTTTTAGCTGGGCCTGATGATACTGGACCTGTAATTCCAGCTATTCAATAGGCTGAGCCAGGAGGACCATGAAGCCAGCCTGAGCACCGTAGCGAGATCCTGCCTCAAAAACTAAAAAGACTGGAGATGGCTTGGTGCATAAAGCTCTTGCTTTGCAAACGCGAGGACTGGAGTGTGGACCCCTAGAGCCCACAGCTGGGCAGGTGTGTGGCCACCTACAATATCACCACTTGGGAGGCAGACTCGGGGACTAGGCAGTTTGGCTAGCTGAGACTTGCTGAGGCGAGTGAATTCCAGATTCGGCACGAGGCCCTGCCTCAATAAAGCGGAGGGAGACTAAGGAAGGCAGTCTATGGTAACCTCAGGCCTCCACATGCATTTGTGCACATCGCACATATGTAAAAAGAACTTGGAATCTAGCTCACGGCACAGTGCTTGCTAGCACGCCTGGGGCCCTGAATTCAGACCTCAGCATTACACATTAACACAGCCCTCCCTCCCTCCTCCCCTTTTTGGCTTCTAGGCTCCTGAACGGCTCTTTTCCTTAAGTGTAAAATATCTGTTGGAAATTCTGCACATCCCTGTCTCTTTCCCTACTCACCAGGGTCATCTTACTTTCTCAAACAGTCCCTGGAATTATTACCGCCGCCGCGCAGCCAAGAAAACCTTGACTGAGGCCGTGACCCCTTCCTTAACGCCGTGGGGCCTTTACCTTTCAGCCTTGTGACCGCAAGCACGTACCAACTGAAGTCAACATTCAGAGGCAGTTTTAAATGTCTGCGTTTAAGTTGCTGCTTTAATTAAAAAAAAAAAAAAAAAAAAAAAAGTATTTTCAAGTAGCCCTTTTAGAGCCAGGGAGGTGTCTTAGCGGGCAAAGGGACTGACAACCTGAGTTCAATCCCTGGAACCCATGATGGAAGAAGAACGAACCCTGCAGCTCTCTCTCCCGACCTCTACACAGGCACTTCGGCACACACGTGTCTACATGTACTGACACACACACACAAATGTAAAAATGCAAACACACACATATTAAGCTATTAAACACACACGTATTTTGTCCTCATCAGAGGACCAAAGGAGCACAGTGCCTGACTTTGCCAAGGGTCTGGAAAGGCCCTTGGTTCCTCACTGCCCCACAGGCACGGAGATTAACATGTGCGGTTCTAACATGGGTGAACTCGGGCCCAGCCTGCTGCCAAGCTCAGCTTCGCCCATCACCACCAGTGTCACCACGAGGCTGTCTAGATCGTCCATCACGGGACAGGAGAACACAGAGAAAGCCCGTAAGGACTTCTCCCGGGTTCTTGCTTAACTGAAAAAGTAGAATAAGAAGAGACGCCTCCTTAAAGGCAAAAAAGTGAACTTTATTGACTGCTGATCTTACCATGAAACACCTATAAGAAATAATTACAAAATAATGCAAGTTTTTTTTTTAAACATACTTTCAGTATCATCCTGACATGATGATCCTTTCACAGAAAGGATTATTTACAGCTTCCTTAGATATAAAGCTCACTATTGCAAATACAGATGAAGATGACGTGGCGAGGTGACATATACCAAACCGATGTCTTGACCAGCAACAGACATGGTAGCAGGTGCAGCATGAGAAACAGCTTCATGCTTTTCCTCTTAGTTTTAAAAACCATTTCCCAACACAAAAATGTCAGTTATTCAAAGTGGATCCTCACATACACATCTGTATATGATTCTACCATGGATCAGAAACTAAAAAAAAAAAAGTTCCCTTGCTGGTTTTATCTTTGAAAAATCTGTTAAGACTATTCCCAAATCCAACTGGAGGAGGGTGAATGAAAAACGACACCACTGGCTGAACCCTGGAGCAGAGAGAAGAAAGGTATGGGCGCGCCCTGTTCCATTACACAACTCTTTTGGTCTTTGGCCTGCAAGAGAGGAGGAGGGCCGTGGGAAAGAAAGCGGAGCTTGGCAGGCGGGGCTCCAGGGAGCTCGGCCTTCGCCAGGGTCTGGCCCCTATGTGTCTGTGACAAGTGGTGAGGTTCACCCTTCTGTGAGGATAATGAAAGATACTTATACATTCTGGCATCTGAAACTTTGGTTCTTTTAGAAGCATTCCATCAAAGCAATATAATGTCGTGACCTCAGAACTTTAAAACAAAATTCTCTTCTAAAGTGTCAGGCGAGAGGGTTCGCGGATGAGCCCCTGCTGCTGTCGTGCCGGCGCAGGATGGCAGCATGGCGGGGGCTCGCTTGCGGCTGCCCCCGGCTCTGGAATGCTGACTCCCACCCATGGGAACACTGCTTATGTTCTGCCCTACATCTATTTCTTCGTTACTTGGAAACATAATTTTGTACAAAAATATGAGTTTCTTTAGAAAATAATACAGTTTTTTTTTTAATAAAACCTGGCAGATAGCAAAAATGGAGTATCAAAATATGGTAAACAAATGCTGTAAAATACTAACTCACTAAAAACATCTCCTAGAAAGACGCTGTGCTATGGAGTTCTCTCCTGAAGTGCGAGCAACACTTTGTCTATCAAGTCGGTGCGCTCATTCTCCTGGGTCGGTTTCATTAGCCACTGTCACAGCAGCAGGGCCCGTTCTCAATCACCACTATCCTCTGTTCACGTCTGCTTCAAAATTACTAAAAAGACACTCTTGGAGCAGTGGTCTCCAGTCCTGCTGTGCACTGTCTCTACCTGGTAAACTTCACAATTCTGCCTGGGACCCATCCACAAGAGACGGACTTCAACTGCCCTCGGGTGAGACCCAAGCATGTTTTAAAAGCTCTCCAGATAAATTTATTATGCTATTAGGGTTGAGACTCTTGGCCAAAGGCACACAAGGAAAGTCACTCTTAACTCTGTATTTATCAACTGATTGTCTGTGGCTACCATTCTCTCAACGAAGTTCCCTCAACACTGAACAAGGACCTCTATGTGTGTGAGACAGACATGGAAGTCCAAATGAAGAGTCACTAAGCTTTAAACACATGTAAACACACAGTCCCGGGAAACTACCTATGTAACATAAACATACACTTAGGGTGTCTTTTTAAAGCAGAAACGAGCATTGCGTCTGTTTGCTACCATTAAGAAAGACAAGGAAGAAAATCAAACCAAACGAACTTTTTCTAAGACAGTTCCATTGCTTTTAACGTATACCAGCTTTGTAAACTCCGAGAAACGCACCATGTCGTGAGCACAAGTGAATCCCAGGGCTTCCCAGAAGAACAAAACAGTGGACGTGGCACTGCGCAGGCGTGATGGAGTCCCAGGTGTCCCAGCACACAGCTCTGAACTCTGAGTGCTGCTTCCGTTACACACGCATCTTTGGCTAGAACCGTGCGACTCCCACTGCTTCATCAGTGTTCAATTTGGGCCAACCTCTGTGAGGCAGCAATGGCTATGTATTAAAAATGGCTCTCCGTAAGAGAAGTGAGAACTTCCTCCGTCCTCCCTCCAACCACAGGCGCTTCAGGAGGGAGCGGCTGGGAAAAACTCACAAGGGGACAGATAAGCCTGATGTCTTTCACGTGACAGACATGTATTTGAGCCAGCAAACAAGAGATGAATGCACACCATAGTTTAAGAGTCTGAAAGCTGGGTAAGCTGGAAAGCACACTTCCTTCCAAAGGGTCAATGAGCATCTGGGCACTTGTCTTCTGTTTACATTCTGTGTTCCTCTCACCTCTGCATAATACTTAAAGTGCAATTGTCCCAAGGCTTTTGTTTCCGTCACGAATATTATAAAGAAAGAGCTAAGTTTGGGGTGAAAAAAATATGGCACAAATAAGAGGAGAGAAAGTCGGACTCCACAGCCTCCAGCGGACAGCAGCTGCCCGCAGGTGGGACTCAGACAACGAACTCGGGGACCTCATCGTGAGTGAGGTCCAGAGAAAAGTACTTGCTGGTTCTTTTGACTGGAAACGCATCTTGGATGTTGACACACTGCTGGGCCAGGCAGCTGTTGCAGTAGAGACTGTCCTCATCCAGCTCATGGCCACACCCAAAAGTGTAGCTCTGAGCAGTGTCCTGACACAGGCCTGCAATGCGCAGGAAGTCTTTCTGGTTCAGTCTGATGTCGTCAAGGCTCAGGCTATGCCGATCGGTGGAGGTCTTTGGTTTTCGACATACTGTCTGCAAGGTAAGGGCAGGGTGAGAAACGCAAGAACACATAATGTCAAGCAGTCCTTATGTGTTACAAACGGCTTTCCAAGCCGTGCTCTGGGGGAGTAACTTAGCCGAGCGCATCAACGTGCCTGGCCTGACCAAACTCTCTGCTGGTACAGATGTGAAGGGTTCGTCCAAGTGCATATAGCCAACACAAAGATGGGCGGGCAACGACTGCCAGCGTTTGTGAAATCAGGCAATTACTGCAAAAGGAGGCTGGAAGGTAAAAACACTGCCTGTCTTTCTTTCAAATCAGGATAGGGCAATTCAACTTGTTGACACCTTCCTGCTTGGGTGTTAATATTTCAATAAGAAATGGAGAGCAATTATCATTCAAGAAACACAGCTTGAGGAAGCAAGGTTTAAAAAGTCCAGGATATAAAGTGTTCCTGCTGCCAAAGGCTGGGGAGAAACAGGCTGCAGACATGGCTTAGCCATTAAAGAGCACTGTTTGCTCTTGCAGAAGACCCAGGAGACCCGGGTTCAAGTCCCAGCACCCACAGCAGTAGCTCTCAGCTGCCTGTAACTGCAGCCCCCGGGGAATCTGACACTCTTCTGGCCTCTGTAGGTACCTGCATGCATGTACCTACGCACACGCGCGCGCGCACACACACACACACACACACACACACACACACCACAACACAACACAAAACAAAAAAACTTTTGAAATGTGGAATAGAAAAAGCAGCTCTTGGCTACCCAGAGAGGTCCTATCTTTCCAAATGCCACCAGTGGGTGGCAAGCTTTTTGGACTCATTATCCCAAGTGGTCCTGCTGGAAAATAGAGAAGTTAAGGGCTGGCTCAGATAATACCACAAACGGGAGATGGTTAGTGGGTGATGTCAAGAAACTAGAGAGTCTCAGTTTACAGTTTACACCACAACAGACATCTTGTTGGAAAAAGACACCACTCTACTAGACACCAAAGTTCCAGGAGCACATTTTGCTACAAAGTGTCACATTTGAGTGACATCAGCTACACAGACTGCCCCGTTAAACTTGATAATAGTCTTCCCAGGTCACACAAATGTCTCAGGGGTGTAGGTTTGCCATTTGTTGTACAGCCGCAACACCTGCGGTGTCCCGGGATATCCGTGTACAATGCAGCATATGTGGGATGGTACAGCGCGGCCTCTAATCTTCCGCGCTACACACACTGTTCAATATTGGGAATTTTAGAAAAACAGTTAATAGATGCCATTTTCACAGTATGGCTTCTTTTATGGAAGTACCAAAAAAAAAAAAAAAAAAGATAAAAAAAAAAAGCATGGGTAAAAAGAAGAGGACAAAGTGAGACACAGAAGGCCAGAGAAAGAAAGAAAGGGAGGAAGATATGGAAATACATTTTTAAAGAGCTGAGCCAGTCAGTGGTCACAGCTGGCAGATAGTCTAGCAAAGCATACTTTGGAAATTCAATCTGGAAGGCAAAAGCACAGCAGACACTGCTCTGCCAACAGCAACCTTTCCTGCACACACAGAGACTCCCATAGAGACACACACACACACCCTCTCAGGTGTGCACGTGCAGTTAACCGGAAGCCGGAAGACCGGAAGACTGGAGGCTCCCACCTAGAGGGAGTGCACAATAAAGTACACAATGTATCCAAAAAAACCCCAAATCTAAGTGGAACTAGGAAGGGAAATGAGACCACATTCAGCACAGAGAGGATGTGTGCACGGGGTCGTGGCTCGCCTCCTTCTGGCTGTCCTCTGCTCATCTGTATGAACTGCAGGCCCAGGCTGGCATGTATGTAACTCCCGTACCTGTGGAAGGGAGTCCGTGCTCTGCCCACGCAGCTTGACCACCGTTTCTGAAGAGCTGGAGGTGGAAGAACTGAGTTCTTTCACAATTAACCCTGAGGGGAAACAGAAAAATGAGCTACTCACACCTCGCTCCGTACCTTCTGACAAGGGCTACTACCAACTGTGATCATCTCGGAGGGGACTCCTTGGTGGCTCACAGCTGGTGGCACCCACTCTTTGGCAGGAGGTAGAGGTGGGGAGGTTCAGGAGTATGCTGTTTAGAACGTTAGACGGAGGCCTCTTTACCGAGTCTCCCTTCTCCTCTCCGCATATCCCCCAACTATGAAACAGGGATTTAATCTCCCAGCTTTGGTTCCTCGTGGACGTAGGTGTGAGGGCATTGGCCTCTTCGGTCAGATGGGCTGGAATTTGCCTGGATAATTAACCAGCTGTGTGTGCACGCTGACTCTTAAGCCTCCCCACTTCGAATTAGCTTCCTTTTATAAACAGGGCTGATGATTCAACAGTCATGGACAAAAAGGGTCAGGCGCTCCCACTGGCCAACAGATTGCTGTGACCACGGACCCCACAGCGGATCCCAGTGGGAAGCGGACAGCAGCGGGAATTCAGCACTGGGTCTCAGAGGTCAGCAGAGGCCTTCATCGCCTTCTGTGCTCCAAGGAGACCTCAATTTTCAGAACCAGAAATCTGAGGCTGACATTTTCCCTTCTGATTGTAATGTGTAAGTGATGTGCCTCTGCAAGAAAATGTTTCGGCGGCTGAAATCACCTACCCCAGCTGGTAACGGACTGAGTATCATCGAAACTTTCTTTGCCACTTGGTCAGGCTAGTGAAGCCCAGCAGAGGGGCACAAAAATAACGGCTTCGGAGGGACAGTAGTGTACCCCACCTTTCAGACACTTGCTTGGCCAACTGCCAGCAGCCTACAAAGCCTAGCTCACATCTTGTGAAGACAGAGGACTCAGTACCCGCTCAACTGAGCCAAGAACTGTGAAGCCAGCCTGGCTCACACACAGGTGCTTTACAACTCTTGGGTAAAGTTCATGCTTCGGGATGCTCCACACTGCTTTTCACAGACTCACGAGGAGCGTGAAGCCTTGAACAGATCCCACAGGACTGGGAGGCCCTGGCACTGGTGGGCACGTGCTGGGATTCTGTGTGGGCTCTCTGCTAGGGCCCTTGGCTCCTTGGCCTGTGAACACTCTCCTCTAAGCCCATGCCAACCACTGAGGAGGTCAGAGCAAGGCCACCAACATCTCTACTCAAACCAACGTCACAGTCCAAAAGCAATGCTCAGGTGGTAGAGAAACTGGGAAAGCGGAGTGATGCAAGGAAGAAGTAGAAAGATTCCATGCCCTGTCAAAGTCACATTTTTACATGCTCTACATAAGCAGTTTTAGTTATAGCACTTTTATATAAGTTATGCTCTCGTCTAGAGTTTGAATTCTGTATGGTATCCTTTGAAAAATCTCATGTAAAGGCTGTTTAATAGTCCAGTGTCTAGGGATCAGAGAATTCAACTATTCGTTGTTTTCCTTTTTTACTATTAAAATACAAACTTTTGTTAAATATTACTAACATCATCCTATTTAAATTGCATTTCTACTTAAAATTATAAAATTACCAATCTCATGGAAACTGCATGCAGAAACATACACATATGAAGCACTTGCCTGTGGCCCATGTACTCCACTCCCTAGGCAGCTGGATGTATAGCATTTAAATCATTTTCTTTTTACAAACCTAAATACGTGTAGCATTTCTCACGCACTTATATGCACACAGCTGTGGGTTTATATTTAATAGGTAAAGAGAAAATTCAATATAATAAAGAGAAGGGGCAGGCAAAGTCAAGGCTGGCCTAGCACCCTGAATCCGGGCTGGTGAAGGAGAAGCTTCTGTCCATCTCCTCTGCTGGTGGTCTGCCGTGGTTCAGACTGAATATCTTCAAGTTGTGGCTGGGCTGGGTGAGCAAACAGAATCCTGCAGGGACTGTCCCTTGTACTCTCACACAGGAAGGGCCAGGATGACAGCCGCCAGTGTCAGCCAATCAGAGAGGAGAAAGAGCCTCTCGCTTTATCGAGGCTGGCTAGAGAATACGCACTCAGGGCCCCTTCACAGTGCTGGCTCCTTGTCTTAAGCCCAAGGAACAGGGGAGACTGATGCTTGACATGATAACAGACAGGGAGGTTTTGAACGACCCCACCCTGCTCACTGCACGCGCTAGAACGTGCACTACAGAATCCTGTGCAACCGTAGAGCTGAAGTTACAGTGAAGGCGTGCTCTCTAGAGGAGTTCATGCAGACACGCAATTTAAGATTGTCTATCTAAAAATCAAAACAGTTTGACAATTTGTCTTGCAGGGAATACAGTGGGGGACACGGACCAAACCAAACTCGAGAACCATCTTCTGTTTCTAGCCATGGGCACTTGTCTCTTTACTCTTGAGTATTTTTCTCATGTACAAAATGGGAAGAGGCCAGACTGAAGTATCTCCAAGGTTCCTTCCAGGGCCATTAGGTGGTTCTGTAATTATCAGGTTTATAACAGTGAGGGAGTAGGGGGTAGAAAGGAGAAAAGAAAGAAGGCCAGCTAGCCTACATCGCAGTGATTTGTGGTCTGCAGTTGGGGTAGAGGTGCTTATGCTCCTTCCTGGTACCCTCCCTCCATCTCTTCCACAGAAGACACTTGGCCCATGAGCAAGAAACCTGCCGTGGCTTTTCTTCCCGGGTGGCACAGAGACCCCAGAACCCTGCTATTCTCAAAGGCACCTGCGTGGGGAGTTCTGGAGGAAACGGCTTGCCGTAGGAGCTCACCTGAGTGCCCATTCAGCTTCCTTGACAGGAGCATGTCCTCTGTGATGTAGATACACATGTCAGGGCTGACTTCCAGCGACTCTTCGGTCATGGGCTCCAGGTCCCTGGGGTCATCGACCAACATCTCTATCTCTGACAGAGAAACAGGAAAAGAAGGCATTTAATGACTCCAGGGCAAACGAAGACCACAAGCCATACACCCTGAGTTCAGCCAGGTAAGTATTTACACTTGGAAGCTCCAGGGACAGCTCTCAGCATGACATGCTCCCTTCTGAAAGGCTGCTGTTACGGGTGCAGCCTCTCGTGTGTGACTGACATCAGTTACTCTACTCTTGAAGGAAGAGAAGCATCACAGTTTCGCTGCCATGACCCAGGGCTAGCTGATGCCGAGGGTCATTAGCATCAGGGCGAGGCCTGCTGACCCATCGCCCCTGAGCGCCCCACTTCTCATGGCCGCTGCTTCAGAGCTGCATGGAGTGTGCAGGAGCCTAACACGTGGTGTGGTCTTTCTCTCATCAATCCCGAGTGCTACAGGTCTCATGTGAAATAGATACAGACTTAAAAGAAGCATGCAAATGCTAACTCTGGCTGACACGGGCTGGGATGTGTTGCTCTATCTCAACAGAACCTGGCAGCCAGGTTCTGCATTTCTTTTACACTCCCTATAGTTCTGGGGATATGAGGAACACTCAATAAACACTTTGATAGTACATATTGGATGCATTTTGTGTGTGTGTGTGTGTGTGTGTGTGTGTGTGTGTGTGTAGCCCTGGCTGTCCTGGAACTCCCTCTCTAGACCGGGCTGGCCTTGAACTCACAGAGATCTGCCTGCCTCTGCCTTGAGTGCTGGGATTAAAGGATAGCATCACCACAGCCTGGACTTTTTTTTTTTTTTTTTTTTTTTTTAGAGGAAGAGGACATTTAGCTCTGTGGACCTAATCACTGCCTCATTTCCTCTAGGGATGAGAAACCCAACACATAAGGGCTGGAGGAGCTCTGTCCCCTCTTCTTCACACAAGCCGCCACCTCTGTGGGTGCAAAGGTCCCTGACAGACATAGGCACCTCAGTCGGGTCACACTGGGGGGCCAAAGAGACTTCTCCTCTATCACTATCTCTCGGGCACCTCGACACACCAACCCTGCAGGACTAGCATGTAAAACTGCCGTGAGCGACGTTACCATCGTCTTGCGAGTCCTCTTCCAGGCGGTCTTTGCCTCCGCTCTCCACCCCTGAGGTGTGGGAGCTGCCGTGGCTGGTCATGGAGCTGCAGGTCTTCAGCTTACGGTGCATGGCGCTGCCTGAACAGCCGTCTTCCGGCCCCGGCTCCCGGGCCTTAGGGTCTGCCTCAATGCCTGAGGTGTGGGAGCTGCTGTGGCTGGCCGTGGAGTGGCGAGACAGGCGCTTATGCTTCACGCTGCCGGCACTGCTCCCGCTGGCGCGTGACCGCTTCTCCAGCTGGTCCATGTCAAGGTCCAGGTTGTCGCTGATGTAGGATTCCCGGTACTGCTTTTTCTCTGTGTGGGAGAACACAGCTCAGCAGCATACTCAAGCCGAGGCACAAGACTGTGAGAGTGTCCGGCTGAGGTCAAGGGGAGCCTCTCTGAATCTAGTGACTGAGGAATTCTGGGAACTGGAGAGTGACACAGGAACACTATGCGGAGAAGTAGGCTCTTCAGAGTGTCAGAGCATGCCACTTCTTGTCTGCAAACTGCTGCCACTCCACAGTGAAAGAGGCTTAGAACTGAGAACACGTAACACTCTGTAGAGCAGGTGTGCCACGTGACACTGCCACTACAGTCCCCACAGGACCCTGCATTTTGCAGACTGTCAGATAGCAGCATGCTATACATCAACGTCTGGTCTTCCACAGAGGATACTAGATACACTCAACGACTGCTGTTTACCTATGTGTCCATTTGTTCAGTTTGGTCTCCTGTTACCCTTAGTTGCTAAACCTAACAAGACACAGCTATTCACAAGATTACTTTCAAAGATCCTAAAACTGATCCTTCCACGTAATCCAAGCCTCCAGCTTAGTGAGGCATTATCTACCATGGTCATCACTGCTGGTTTGGTGACACAGCAAGTCATCTCTGGCTGGTTAAAAATACTCAGATTGTTGGTTGACGGAGTCAAAGATAGAACCTGGGGAGCCAGGCATTAGGAAGCCCTCTCAGCAAAACATGAGGTCATAAAGTCACAGCTGACCTGAGGAAGTGAGGGGGTGGGGCTCAAAGCAGGATGCTTATGTTTCAGGTGAGAAAAGTATAAAAGAAACAGTCTATCTTCCTTGTCTTAGAACTGATGAGAAAACAGCACAGTAGACCACTGCTAAGGACAGAGTGCATCTGAGGAACATTAAATTGATGTAATTTTAGACGAGCGGGCTAATGGGACTCTCAGGGTATGTTAATGGACATACTTGCTTTGCTTCTTGACTAAGTAGAAGTACTTGCAGCCCTGCTGTCTGCACACAGCCCTGAACCTGCACCCTGACTGGCCCTCCAGAGGAGATGGCTGGCAGAAGAGAGAGGCTGTGTGTGTCTGTGGGGGTACGGGGGACAGGTGCAGCTCACAGTCCCTCACCTTCTGATCACAAGAGCTCACGGCCAAATCATCAGAATACCCGGGCCTTCTACAAAGTAAGTCTGGAGAACAGGCTTTCGGACTATAATGTGCTTAGTGTGGCCTCTTGATCTGGGGCCCAAGAATATGTTCTAGTAACTGTAGATGTTTTTAACGACACAAGGCATGCTTTACTTCTCTCAACTCCCTTGCAGTATTCCTGTGACCATTTTCTATAAAAATGGTGAAACAACAGTGCCTTAGGAAGGTATGTAGAAATAAAGTTTAAGAATACTCGTCCTTTTTATGCTGAACTAACACTATAACAGGGCTTTTCTGGTTAAAATGAAAAATCCCTTCTATGTGAATCGGTGGCTCTGCATCAAAGCTAGCCCACACTCTAAGTAGAAAACAAAAACAAATATTTTCTTTTTAAGAATACCACCCCCATTATCTCCCCACTCCCCTACTGGGCTCTGAAGGTCCCCTCTCAAACTCAGGTTGAAATGTGACAGTATGAGGCATGACTCAGGTGGGTGACTAGGCTGTGATAGACAAATGCTGCTGCTGTGGGTGTGGCCTCCTTCACTCTCCTGCACCTCAGCCTGCAGAGGGTGATGCGGCAGGAAGTCCCCGCCAGATGCCCAGCCTTGTCTGGGCTTCCCAGACATTCACTATGCATCAGTAGCCTGGGGTGTTCTGTTCCGGCAGTGGAATGGATATTTGCTCATATAAGCCCCCAATACATTTAGGGGACGCTGCTCTGGCCTCCAAGAGCTCAGCATCCTTCATAACTTTACCTTATCTCTGCAGGGAAGAGGTACTAAATCTGTCAGACTCTCAGGGGTTCCCCTCAGGGTCATCTGCATTACCAAAAGCCTTTGGGTTGAGAGTTGATGGGACAAATGAGCCTCTTAAGGTACCACAGTGGCCATTTAGGGATGAGGCAGATTTGGAAGATCATGCTCTGCACCCAACTGAGTCACCTTTTCTCATAGGCTCCCCCTTGGTGCTTTTGTCCCAGAGTGCATTCCTCGTAAGAGTCATGTCAGCCCAGGTGTGATGCATTTGTTAGAGCGATGAGTCAACCTAGGGAAAACAGGAGGTCTTCGGCAAAAGCCAGTGTACCTCTAGCCACCAGCTCTTGCCACAGGAGGGGCACAGCGGCAGGTGGTAGGGAGTGATTCACCTTCTCATCATTGTAGAGGCGGGGAATCTCCACACACATCTGGCCACACTTGGCTTTAAAGAAGTTGATCAGATGCACCTCTTCTTTAAGTTGGCTTTGTTAGATAGAGGCAGGGCAGGCCCGTGTCCCTTTCCACCGGCACACGGGGGCCAGCACTTGTTTCATAGATAGATAGACCTAAGGACATACCACTGTGCCCCAAGGCCCAGGCAGACAGTCTGTCTCTGATCTGATTACTATGACAATGGACAGTGACTGTAACAAAAGAAGCTGAAAGCAATTCTAAGCAAATATGCCACACGGCACTTGGTTCCCCAAGCAGAGGGGCCCCTGGGCACCATAACTGCCAACAGAGATCAGAACTGTTAAACCACGGGCTCCTTCCTCGAACAGCTTGCCCTCTTCCCAGTAACAGGGCTAGGACCTCAAGCATATTGTTCAGGTCCAGTGCATCTCACAAAGCCCTGACAGGGCAAGGCCCTTGGACGGAAAAGGACTTCTCCACTGTTGTCATTATTACACGGTCAGCTTGAGGGTCTCCCTGCTGTCAATCAGAGAAGCTGTGACCTGTCTTCACTGTCACTTGGGCCTAAGGACAGCACCACACTGGAAGGAACTGCAGCTTCCTGCAGACAGCAACGATGGTTGGCCTGGTGCATTCAGTACTCTGATAGAAAGGGCTTCCCCCTAGTCTATCGCTTTTTAAGTCAGGGGCCAGACACTCTAAACAGAGGAGGTGGAGGAGCTGTTTGGTCAAAGGACCTCTTGGACTGAGAAGTGAATGGAACTAAGCTCTCAATTTCTAGTCCATGTCTCTAAAACTCCCATTCTGCAGGTGCTTAACAGTTCCTGTTCTTGGCAGGTACAGGAAGAGGCCAGCAGAGGTAGGCGGGTGTGGTGGCACACACCTTTAAGCCCGGTGCTTGGGAGGCAGAGGCCAGCCTGGTCTACAGAGTGAGTTCCAGGACAGTCAGGCTACACAGAGAAACCTTTCCTCAAAGAACCAAAAAGAGCCCAGCGGCGGCATGGTGCCCTTTTCTTTCTCGTGAGCCCCTCACCACCACCCATCCCACCTTCATTCTCCTCCAGCTTGCGGAGGTGGCGCAGGACAGGCTGCAGGTTCATGTAGAGGCGGTGGCTGTTGCTCAGCAGCTGCAGGAGATGCCGGGAGCGTGTGGGACACCCTGTGTAGTAGACCAGCTTCCTGGCGGAGGGAAGGCCATCTGGCAGGATCTCAAACTTCTTGCCCTGTGGAGAAGAAGTGACCGAACCATGGCAGAAAACTGAGTGGCCAAGGTCCCGTTCCTTTTTAAACTAAAATTCTCACAGATGTGAGAAGCTACTGTAAGGACAGAGGACACCAAACTCAGGGTGGGCTCTACCCAAGGTCTCCAGGAAACCTTGATAGTGGGGCGGGAGGGACATGTTCGTTTTCTTTGGCCCAGCAAACAGATCCCCGGATGTAATTCCAACACCTAATTTATTGTTCTCCAATGCTGGGCTGGCAGTAACTCACACTGAGCACTAGGACAGGCATCTATTCATTTAACCCTCGAGAGAAGTCTACAGGGAAGAGCTGACTACAACCATCTGAGCACGAAGCCAAGGCACAGAGAAACTGAGTCACTCAAGGTCACACATGTAGGCTGGGCTGGGAAACTAGTGAAAATGGACTCGTGGTCTCCATGCTAGAACTACTGAATCAAAAAAAAAAAATGTCTTGGGGAAAAGGAATGAGTCTCAGAAATCTGTTGTCTTCAGCAAAATCTTAAATAAGGAAGATGTAGTGAGAGTTTCAGGAGTCACTAATCACAATGACCCCAGAAAGCCTTAATTTCATCATTGATTGATTAATCATGCCTTAATTTCATAAATGCCGTTATCACTACTGATTCTGGGCCATGAAGGGGGCAAATGGGGCTAAGATTTTTTTTTTTCTTTCTTTTCTTCCTTCCTTTCTTTCTCTCTCTCTGAGATAGGGTTTCTCTATGTAGTCCTGTAGCCTTGGCTGTCCTGGAAGTCACTCTATAGATCTATCTGCCTGCCTCTGCCTCCCAAGTGCCAGGATTAAAGGCGAGTACCAGTACAGGCTGACTATGATTTTCAAACAGTTTTGGAAAAGGTACAGAACATGAAGGCACCAGTGATGAGTGGGCAGGGAAGTTCCAATTAACATGAGTAAGGCCAGAGCAGACAGTACTCAAGGAATTAAGCACTATGCTCCAATGGGGCGAGGGGGCCCTTTATCTGCACAGGCCTTTGTCCACACAGAACAATGCATGTCTACACATCCTACGCCATCCCATCACTTTTCCTGGTCGACTTCTCTCAGTTGCTTCAGAACTCAGCAGAATTATGGATTTTAGTGATCTCCATACAGACACACACAGAGTAGTAAATGCAGTTCTTTGAATGCTATCACACAGTGAACGTGACTGACAGAGAAAGAGAGCTGGCAAAGAGTCAAGGATTTGCTCTCACAGAACCTGTATCACCCTCGAGATTCTGACGATGAAAGTGCCTTTCCCATTGCTGATGGCCGCCTACAGAAAAGGAGCTGAATGTGAAATAGACCGGCATTAGAGGAAACACCCCTTTATTTCATGTTCTTTCTTCACTTGAACTAAGTAACTTGCGAGGCTACAAGCCAGCCTCCATGCTGGGTCACTTAACCTGAGTGCCAACAAGCCCTCATCTGCAATTTCCAAATGGTAATTTTATTTGATGGATTTACCTTGTATTTTCCCCTTCATTTTTCTCCCCCCTGCAATTCCAGTTACTTAAGTCAGTACGGCAGACAGGCACTGGACACACAGATTAGATTGTTTGACTTTAATTTGCTACTGACGTAACTAACTCTGGTTATGAGAATATTTAGGGGAAACAGATTATTGTCGGATTTTAAATTTTTTAAAAGCCTTCTAGCATTTCTTTTGTATGTTTGGGGGTGGGGTGGTGAAAGCCATTGTGTGTATTGGGGGTAGGTCAGAGGATAACCAGGTTCTGTCCTTCCACCCTGTAGGTCCCAGGGATCCAACCCATGCTGCCAGCTTTGGCTGTAGGCCCTCTGTGCCAAGTCATTTCGCCTGCCCCTAGCTGCAGTTTAAAAACAAAACTCTAACCCCACTAAAAAGAAAAAAAAAAATCTTGACTACTTTTGCTCTTGGACACAGTATTTTTCAAAGTGGAACCCCTCCAAATCCTCAAACACAACCCATGAGACTTCTTTTTCTCCTCCCCACCCCTCTTTTCTTAGTTTGCACTTACCACAAACACCAACTTCCCAACATTTGTCCAGGGGAAATCATACAGCAACTGCTTCTCTTCTTCTAGATTCTGTGGAAAGAATTTCAGTACATAAGGAGTTAAGAGGAAACATGACAGATATCCTAAAACTATGTTGATTTATCTCGTAACAAACTAAAATTCAGTAATTAAACTCTGAAGGAGTCCTCAGCTCCTGTGGCCTACATGCACTGTCCCCCTGAAGACAACCTTCCCTATGGTCTATCCCTAAATTTAAATGTGAAGTCCAAAAGACTCACAGATACTTGGCAAATGGGAAGAGACTTCCATGATTGGGTATTTTGCCTGCATCAAAGATAAAACAGCTTTCTATCTTTCTCACGGATCCCCGACGTACAGCTAAAGGGTAACACTGTCCTACCGGGGTAAGGGAAAACAATGTGTGTATGAGACACCTGTGATGGACACTGGAGCATCTGGGTAGGTGCTTTCTACAGTGGACAAGAACACTGACAATCCACAAGGCCCAAGGGGCAAAGTGTGGATACTGCCGTTCTGCAAGTGTCAAGCCTGGCCTGATCTTCCGCCCTGCATTTTCTTTTAAGATTGACCACTGTCAAGGCAGATGAGCCACTCCATCCATCGACTTATATCACCCACCTCTGTGCTGACAAAGGGAAACAAGGGCTGAGCCCGAGGCAAGTCCACCAGCATTCTCTGTGGTAAGACCTGCTTGACCCCATTTGATACTTCCCCCATCCACAAACCTGAAAAATCTGTATTCCCCGCATGGTCAATCCTAGGGTCAGCGAGCCTTCAACCTCTCTTTTATCCTGAAGGAAAGAGATCTTGTGAGAAATTGTTTTTTCCTTCTAATAAACAGCTGAACAAAAGAGGAACAAAAACACACATTTCAGAACTGGAAGGGTCTTTCTTTCTCTCCTTCTTAATTAAAATAACTGCTCAAATCTTTCCACATCCTTGATTTCCTGCAACACTTAAAATCTTAAGTATTTATTAAGCCAATTATACTCTGTACTTGTGACTCCTCAGGTTTCCAGGTTAGAGTTCAGCACTGTGTACACACTTCCACTTGTGAGACGGTTCTACAGACTCGTGTCACTGAGAACTCCAGCACACAAGACATTTCTTGCTGCCTTCCCACCGCTTTATCCTTTTCACCTTCTGCTTTGCGCTTAGTTAATGCATGGGTGATAGAATATCGGGTCCAACAGTCTAGTTAAGAGTCTGAGATGCATCCGACTTTACAGGTTTTGTATCTGCTAACACCCTAGCTCCCTACCTGTGTCACAGAAAGGAGGGGGAAGGGACCACACACTTAGGACTTTCCCTCAGACACTTCACATTGCTAATTTGCAAATACTTGCTCATACGATATGTATTCTACTGTTGTGTATGTATGTGTGCATATCAACTGTAAAACTTAAGCCATTTTAACTGTAATAAAAAGAATGCTGCAATTGAAAATGTGCTCAGATTTGGCCAAGCTTTAAGAACTTATGTTTAATGAGTAAGGCATGAAGCTTTAAAAATTACTAAGAAATATTTTCTGTACTAGCTAGCTCAAAACAAGGCTATATTATCAAATCTTTATTAAATCTAAAAAAAAAAAAGTTTTAGAAGCTGGGTGTGGTGGTACATGTCTTTGATCCCAGCACTCAGGAAGCAGAGGCAGGTAGACCTCTGTTGAATTCGAGGCCAGCCTGGTCTACAGAGTGAGTTCCAGGACAGCCAAGGCTACACAGAGAAACCCTGCCTCGAAAAACAACAAACAAAAAAGACTTATTTTATATGCCTGGGTGTCTTGCCTGGGTGTGTATGTGCACCTCAGGTTAGCAGGAGCTGGGAGAGGGTGTCGGGTGCTCTGGAACTGGAGTAGTGGGTGGTTGTGAGCCATTATCTGGTGGTAGGCCTAAGACCCAGGTCCTCTGAAAGTGCAGCAAGTACCCCAAAGCACTGAGCCACCTCTCTAGCCCCTAGCTCTCTATTACGTTTCAGGCCAATTTTCTCAGGAGTACAGGAATAAGTATTAGAAAATGGGGGCTTGCCTGGAATACAGAGAAGAAGCTGGGCTGGTTCCCGCTTAGATTACTCCTTCCCAGCTAGTCTGTTTTTATGTCAAGAAAGGCACCTGCAATGTTGAGTTCAACAGGACCTGCTCTCCATCAGCACACAGCCTAGGGTCCTTTTTCCTCCCCAGGCTGCGCCCAAGGTTTCTGAAATAAGACTGGGCCCGAAACAATGCTGCTGTTCGTGTCTGAGACGTGTCGGGGGTAGAGGGGCAGGTACCAAGCCGTTTCCTTAAGTGTGTTCCTTGTTCTGCCTTTTCCCCTTGACAAGCTGCCCTGTGAGGCACATTTGACGGCTGCCACTTGAATGCTCAAAATGGGAGGTGTCCATCAGGTATCAGTAATGCATCCACCCACTTCAGTACAGCTCTCTAATTAAATGTCTTTTTAAGGCAGAGAAGGCATTTTCTGTGCAATGTGGAACCATATACTAAGCAAATGTTCTTTAGTTTTTCCAAAAGATTAAGCTGTGCACACGAGTACACCAACTTTGCTGAAAGACTAATTTCCTTATCAGTTTCTTTGAAACTAGCAAGCTTTCCCAGCAAATAGGGCAAAAAGCAACAACCACATTTTTTCTGGCTGCTTTAGTGTCACAGGTGTGCTCTCTTGCTGTTTTAGGCCTGTTATTGCATGGACCCCTCTGGCCTTCATGGCGCACAATGTCACCCTTGCCTAACAGAGGGCCATGGCCAGTACAGCTGCCCAGACACCCAGGACCTCTGGCTGATGTCTCAGTCCAAAGCCACACTCTGCCCAGCTACCATTCCATTTCTTTTTAAATTAGTTTTTTAATTTATTTAATTTTATTTTATGTGCATTAGTGTGAAGGTGTCAGAACCCTTGGAATTGGCATTATAGACAGTTGTAAGCTGCCATGTGGGTACTAGGAATTGAACCCGGGTCCTTTGGTAGAGCAGACAGTGCTCTTAGCCACTGAGCCATCTCTCCAGCCCCCATTCCGTTTCTAATACACTTCAGAATAGGAACCGACTGTCCCAGATGCCACTTACTGGGATTTCTCATGTAAGCCAGTCAGCCCTTTAGGAATTTACACAGAGCTCTAAGGGAACTCCAAATGCCTTCCTGGGATGGTGAGCCATTAACCATGAGGGAGCCAGAGCGAGGGAGTAAGTGTGCTGAGCTCTGGACCAGCCGGGAACATTACATTTAGTAATTAGACTACCTAGCAATATGACCAAACACACTCTCCCCCACACAGTGGTCCAGCTGTACTAATCTCATCATAAAGGGTGTTGTGGGGACAAGAAATGTTTCAATGAGATAGCCTGATGAACACCATGCCTGACATGCGACAGGTACTGTTTTAAGCACGGTTCACTTTTTCTTTCGGGCTTCAGTCCTAAGGGGCAGGTGGGTTCCACTGTCTTTTGAACTTCAGAGAAATCTGAAGCACAGAGATGCTAAGTGTGTTCCTCGGGCCACACGGTAAAGAGCCAAACTGGTATTCAATCTCACGGTTGTATACACACACGCTGACCATATCTTAATAACTTCATCCCATGGGGTTTGCAAATACGCCTTGAGTACTTGGGAGAATCCAGTTCTAGTTGAGGAACAGCACTTGTAAGGATAGGAAGACGCAGGGGAGGAGCAGGGGAGAGGGCAAGAGGATGCCGAAGCACAGCACGTGTGTGCAGAGCATCCCTGCAGTGTTCTGCGGAAAATGAGGCTTGGATACAGAGGATGGAAAAGAGAATAAGGAGCGCCTGCGTCTGGGCAGTCCATGGCTCACACAGACGTTGTCATCCAGGAATCTATGTTTCTGCCACTTGTTTTTGCAACCTCTGTGAATTAACTTCCTTAAGCCTCAACTTTCCTGGACTATAAAATGAGCACATCTTGCGGAGAGGTGGGGGTCTGGAGGAAAAAAGGAGGTCTACGGTGCCCCGTCTGCACTGCCGAGGGAGACATTCCCATAATTACAGGCACACAATGAGGGCGGGGCTTCACATGGAGGAATACTAAAATAATATCATCCAACAGGTTGCAAAGGTTACTCTTCAAAGCAGAAAAAGGAGGACGGTATAAGCACTGGAGAGCCAGGCTCACGATCTGGAGCCGTTCACTGCCACACTGTTACAGTTATGGAATCTTCCATCCTGCTTCCCCGCCGGATCGTGACGGCCTGCTTGTGTAACTAGGGGTGGAAACCAAGGGCCGGCCAAAAGAAGAGCTTCCCACAACTTGTCACAAGAGGAAAGCACAGTTCTCCCAAGCTGAAGGCTTACTGGGAAGGGTCTGTCCCGGGCCCGGCCGGGGTTTCCTACCTTGTACAGCCTGTAGTAGTGGATGGCCACGTCGTCCAGGCGGACGGCCTCTTTGATGTATTTCAGATGCGCCTCGGAGGCCGTCAGAGCAAACTGGTCTTTGTGCATGTTCGGGATGTGCTTCAGGATGTACTCCTTCCCCCTCTTGGAAACAACCTGTTGGAACAGCACCCCCGCCAACGACAAGAGGATGAGAAGCTGAAACAGGCCACATAACTTCCATTAGGAATTCTTTTTTTCTTTTTTTAATCTTTTTTTTTTTTAATTTTTATTTTATGTACATTGGAATGAAGGTGTCAGATCCCTTGGAACTGGAGTTACAAGACAGTTGGTGCGCTGCTATGTGGGTGCTGGGAATTGAACCCGGGTCCTTTGAAAGAGCAGACAGCGCTCTTAACCACTGAGCCATCTCTCCAGCACCCCCATTAGAAATTCCATTTTATCCTGTTTTTACTACCTTGCTATGCTACTGGGTGGGACCAACAAAGTCCACTTGGTAAAAGAAAAGTCTCCTAATTGAGAGAATTAAATTCTTTTGGTTTTAAAAGTCATCAAAGCGGGGAAGAATCCCAGGCGAACTGATGTGATTTCACACCCTTATGGATTGGACTCCCCAAATAATGGGACATCTGTGGGCTTGGGGTCCACCTAACTCCCACAATCACACACACATACAACATAGAACATGAGACTATAAACAATCATCTGGGGAAGGTAAAGGAGCAGGCAGGATTCTTTGGGACATTTTGGGGTCTCACACAGAGGCCAGGAACTCTTCTGGAAATGTATGAGGAAACAGTTTCAACTCAACATTTGCTGTCATTTGCTAAGGCTTAGTTAGATTCAGACGGTGTCCACCCCAGCTTTCAAAGGTTAGACACTCAGGACCCAGCAGCTGCAGGCTGAGGGTGTTGAGAATGCCCTCCCTGATTTTGTAAGGATTTGAAAACAGGAAAAGCAGGCAGCAAAGTGAGCAAAAGGAAGGGCTTCAAACGGTGGTGAGTGCTTAGCTTTAATGTGGCTTTTCAGATCCTGGCATTTGTTTCTGATGTTGACTATCTCATAAAGAATTGTACATAGAGGCCAGGAGGTGGTGGTAGCCATGTCTTTAATCCCAGAACTCAAGAGGCAGAGGCAAGGGGATCTCTGAATTGAGGCCAGTCTGGTTTACAGAGTGAGTTCTAGGATAGCCAAGGATACACAGAGAAACCCTGTGTCAAGAAACCAACCAACCAACCAACCAATGAATCAACCAACGAACCAACCAATGAATCAACCAACGAACCAACCAACGAACCAACCAACCAACCAACCAACCAACCAACCAACCAACCAACCAAC